AAATTTAAACATTCACCATATAATTTAATCACAGTTCATAGCTCTAAATACAGGGAGTATAAAACAGAGGTTAGTCTTACTGGATAAATAATATAATCAATGGAGGTTTATAAAAACTATGCTCAACATTAAGGAGTCTATGTATTTTAATTGTCAATACTGTCAAATTTCCTAAGTGAAAGTTATAACTGAAGTCTTCATGTTTTTTGGACAGGTTTATTATAAATCACAAAAAGTGTACATCATAGTACAAAGAAATAAAAAAGAAAAGTTTGTCATTAAAAATAGAAATAAAAAGAATAGTTTGTCATTAAAAATAGGAAAAACAGTCTCCTCTTTCTCTTCTACTTTGGATTTTCCATTAAAAAGGAGAGACTAAGTATTGTAAAGCAGAAACAAATGGGCAACATTTAAAACTTGCAAAGTCCTAGCCTAAGAAAGGATAGTTTGAAATGTTAAAAGTAATTTTAATCTAGAGGCAAACCTACAGATAGTTTTGTACATGCATGACTAGAAAATACCATGTGTCCCTTGATAAAATGCTTTCCTCCCTACAGTTTTTTCAGTTGAGGACTATGCTTGGTACTTTTGGATTTTGATCGACATTATGACTTGAATTTAATAAATAAGTATATTTCATGGAGTGAAATGTTTATTTTTTCAATACAAAATTATTCCTCTGGCCTCACAATTACTGGCCCTACAACTTCAAGGCAATGTATTCAAAAGGTGCTAGAAACAAAAAATACATAAATATTTTTTGGAAGCTTGTATATATCCATTATAAATGTGCCTTTTTCCTAGCATTGGAAAGTATACACTAAAACATGAAAATAAATATGTACTCACTACCTGTATATTTTCAGGTCTCATTCATTTGGAACTGAAATGTTGACTAGAAATGCTTCCAGATAAGCACCAACCCCTTCTTTAGAGTCACAAAACAGTCCCTACCTCCACCTCAGTGGTGGTACTAGACCAGCATTCCTCCAACTGTGGTCTGAGTTCCTCTGGAAGCTTTCAGAATACATGATGTCCTCAAACACCCAGGGGTGCCAAAATAGGGCTCTCAGGAAAGGCAAGAAAAGCCTGTAGTATGAATTCTTCACTTGAGATCTATTTAGAGGTTTTATGACTAGTTTTTATAAAATTCAATATCTTTTTTTCTGTATGAAAAGAGATCATATTCTAATAGGCATTAATCTCCTACTCTGCAAAAGTTATTAAATGGTAAATATGACTGAGTGTGTACCAAATGGAACTTGATGTGTGTTCACCTGGAATTTATTCTCAAATTTGTGTGTGCTGTGAATATGTAACATAAAAAGGCATGTTTCTCCAAAGTGCTAAAAGAAGAACATGGCAGAGATCCCTGGAAAGAGACATTTTGATACATTAAAGGCATAAATTATATTGTTGTTACTACTGTTTGATATTTAGACATTTTCATAATTTAAAAATATTCCTCAGAAGGAACACCAGAATAAAAACAAACAGATTGAATCAAAATTACACAATTTTCAAATGGCATAATAAGTTTGGTAAACAGATGAATAATTACTCACTGGAATGAAAAACATTTATAAAAACTACTTCTAATTCTTCTATCTGCCATTATAAAGTACACATTATATTGGTTTCTCTCCATGTTTTCCTTCTAAATGAATATTCCTATAATTAAACTATTTATTCTTTTGGCAGAAATTCTGAGTATTTTCTAAACACTAATTTCTGACTATTACATGTGAAATTTCAATTTCTTAAGGCTATTTCTATGTTCAAAAAACTTCAAACCTCAGCAATACAAACTCTATATCTAATCTTTGTTTCAATTGGCACACATTTTTTTCAAAATCTGACAATTTCTGATGATCTACTTTAAGAATATATCATTTATAAGAGTGGCGGGGGTGAAGAGAGGGCAAGGGAATGGGGAAAAAATAAGAGCCAAGATACATCATGTAAAGGTACAAGATCCCAATGAGAAATGTAACTGTACTGTATACCTAAAATGTACCAATAAACTAAATGTAAAAATGAGAATATATCATTTATTACTGTAAGAGTTTTTAACACAAAAGGTTTGCAAGTAAGAGAACACCTGATTAAAATATTTCACCCCTTTAATTGCTAATGTAATTTTATTTTGGGTATCATTCTAAAGACAGATACTAAAAGCATTTTAGAATAAAATCTAGCTTACCTTGCCTTGTAAATGAATATTACTGTGGATTATATCTCGAACTTCATCCTCAGTGTCTTTCTGTCAAGAAATACATATTACCTAAAAGAAGTCTTAGAGTGCATTAACTATCAACAGAACAACTCAAACATCCTTTGAAATAATGTCTGTCTAACATCTTGATCAAAATGTCAAGAATTTGGGGAAATTTCCTTCAGATAATTTTTTGGTATGGCTGTAGCTTAATTCAAGGCAACAGTTTACTTTAACTCCAGGGAAAGCCTATCATGACTCAGTAGAACCAAGTTCCCAATTCCTAGCAAGAAGGTAACAGAAGCATGTTCTCTTGGGCTCAGACAGAAGTGTATCCACAGCTTTCCCCAAAACACCCACAAAATAATGTTACCACTTTACACCTTCCTCCATGAATTAGCAATAGGAGATGGTGTATATCTGAGAATCAGATGTCAGACAACTGCCAACAGGGCTGTATCAGTGCAGCCCACTAAGCCAAAACCTCCCTTCCATTCACTCATTTTGGGATGTCAAATCTAGGATAAACAGAGAGGTGCTTCATTGATTCTTTGTGGAAACTGTGACAGAATATGTCTTCCAATTTGCACAAATACAAAATAGCAATTACAGTGGATAATTTGAAAGACTACATCTTTATCTGCATAGCTAAAAAGAAGAAAACCAGGGACAAAAAAGAATCTAGAAAATTTAAATCTTGATGCTCTCAGAGGAAAACATCTGCTGATGTAAAAGTGAACACCTTATTTCACTGTACCACCTTTAGTACAATGTATGATGCCTCTAATACTGAAAAATCACTTTTCACAAATTTGAATATAACTCTCATTAATTTTATACGAGTTCATATGAAATCCATTTTTTGTTTGGTTTTTCAATATGTCATGGAGGTGATTAAAATAACTTAGAAATGAAAACAGCCTTAAAAAAAAGCAGTCTTTAAATCCTATGGTTTGTGCAGAAAAACTGTTCACTGAAACATTCAATGCAAATGGAATGCTGACATAGAGCAGCAAGCCCACAGAATGGGAACACTAAGGCATCTGGAAGGTGGGTGATCACTGTTACTAGGATGAAAAGGAGACTTACCAGACTAAATCGATTTTTGGCCAGAGCAATGAGCTCCTGGTCCCCAGGGGCACAGATGTTCAACCCAATGGGCAGTAACCTCTTTAGTGCTGCTACAATCAGAGAAGTCTGCATAGAATAACGGTCTCCTTTGCGCTTCATTTTCTTCCTTTCCTGATCAGAGACAGCTGCCTGTGGAACAAATAGCAGGACTGAGACCTCCCCTGCTTTGGTCTCATTTGCAACTATGAGCCCTCTTGCTTATCATTTCATCCTCCTCATTTTCTGCTCCTATTTTTGAAAATCCTGCTGTTCTAAGAATATTTTTTCTCCTTCCTTCTTCATATCTTTTGCTAATTTAAGTCCTATTTTCATATTCCTAGGTTATTAAAATTCACTGGTAGGCGTTTTCAACTACTTTTTAGAAGGAAAAGGAATAATAAAATGTTAGGGAGGTGAAATATAAGGAACTATGTGATAATTTCAGGTATCATATGTTTTTTAATATTAATGCTTGAGAGAAAGAAATGTAAAGATAAATTTATATTTGTTCTGACAAATGCTTGCTTTTCA